CGCGGCCCGGGGCTCCTCTCCGGGGACCAGCCCCGTAAGCCGATCCCCGGAGCGATTTCATTTTCGCATCGCGGTTCCCTGGGGAGCCCCTCGGGGCTGGATCCAGGGGAGCAGGTGCCCGCGGGGCTGAGCGGGACGTGCGGGAGCAGGGATGCTGCTCACCCCACACAGACGGATGCGGGGAAGAGCTGGTTTTACCCCGGGTACGGGGTGCTGGGAGCCCTGAGCCAGGCAGGGATGCAGGATTGGGCTTTCCCTAAGCGGTGGCTCATCCCCGGGGCGGGTATCTCTGCCCGGGCCCCTTGTTTCTGCTGTGGCCGGCACAAAGGCGTGCGGGGTCGCGTACGTGCCCCTATGGATCCTGTATGATAGTGACAGTCTCATGTCTGGATTTGATCCGCACACACCTTGCCGAGGGGGAAGCCCCACGCGTGTCAGTGATCCTGCGCCGAGGGAAGCCGTGGATCCGGGTCTGCGGCTGCTTGAGTTCCCTCGACTTGCGGGAGACTATCTGCCGGGGGTCTCCATTTAGGGGCTGAGGGAATGGGTTTGGGGATGATGTCCCAATGGGGGCCATGGGGCCAGAGTTGGGAGGGAGATGTGGGGCTCGGCACTGGCTTGTGTGGAACGGGGTCTGCATGACGAGCGTGGCCCCTTGTCCCGGGAAAGCAGTGGCCATTGGGGCCGGGGAGCAACACGAGAACAAGCAAAGGGGGCTCAGGCGTCTCTGGTGCAAACATGAGGGGTTTTGTACGTACGGTTGGGAGTAACTGGGTGAGATTTGGACCAGGGCAGCGTGATGGTGCCGTGTGTGCCGACTCCAGAGCCGGCTTCAGTGGCTGCTGCTCTCCACTGGCCAAAATCTTCCCAAACTGGGGTCTGTCCTGTGGTTCCCCCCCCCTGCCTGTGAGGCCATGGTTCCTGCAGGCAGGGCTACGGTGATTTGGCAAGGGAATGATAACTGAGGGCCAAGCAAATCCCTTCTTCTTCAGCTGCAGCATGGTGGAAGTGCCTGGGTAGGAGCTGCCATCCCGTGCCAGAAACGCAGCTGGGTTTGGAGGTGAGGGCTCCAAACCAGCCAGGGAAAACCAAGATCCTGATGCTCTCAAGAGAGCAAATGGATCTTTGGATCTCGGTGTAGCACAGCGGGACCCAGTGCCCATGGGGGGAAGCCTCCCGCCCACCCTCCCTTCTCCTGTGGGTTTATTGCCCCCAGACAGTCTGGTTTCCTGATTGCTCTTGCTCACATTCCTGCAGGAAAAGAGAATTAGCTGGGGTGTCTACCAGGAGCATCCCACCGCCCAGGGAGAGCTGCAGCCTCCTGGTGTCCCCCATTTTCCGGGGCCGGTGGAGCCATGGGTTCCCATGTGTGGGGTTTGCTGCACTCTGGAAATACAGCGAACGCTGGGTGAAAGTGAGTTATTTTGGGTAGCGGAGGGGCAGCGTGTGTGGGGGTTCCCCTGCTGCAGCGAAGGGCAGGGTGCTCCCAGCGTGGGGCTTTGCACCACCAGAAGCAGGGCAGCTTTGGGCTGATGCGAGTCTTTCTCCTCCAGGTCGGGCTTCACCTCCTGCCCCGCTCGCTGGTGGTGCAAAATCCCTGCTCGCCCGCAGCAAAAGTCTGGGGCTGATGCTGGCAGCTCTCCCACTGTGGAGCACCCCAGCACCGGCTCAGCCCCAGCCCCTCCTCGGAGAGGGACCAAACCCACGCTCCCACCCCTCACTGCTTTTGGGTGGCTCATGGGGAAAGGGGCCCTTCTCCCACCGCTCTCCCCATCCCAGCATCCGGGTGCTTCCTGAGAGCCGGTGCTGGCTCTGCTCCCTGGGGAAGGAGTCAGGCCTGGGAGGGCAAAAGCCAGCACCGGCAAGAGGGGAAAACGGAGCGGGCTGAGGGTGGCCTGGCCCAGGGTGCTGTGCCCAGCACCCATTGCCCGTGCCACACACGGTGCCCCAAACCAGCCTTTGGGGTTTAACACCCCAGAGCCCCCCATAACCCGCTCCTTCCCCTCTTCATTTACATACGTGAATGATGACCCACAGGAAGTAATTGTGGGAGAAAGAAGGGAATTGGCCTCTTTAGATCTATTAAATCACTTTATTACAGGAACCAGGTCTGAATGGCCCTTCTCTGCGGGGAGCGCGTCTCCATCTCCCTCTCCCTTTATCTGATCACAAAGAGATTAAAATCTCGGCAGGACAGGAGACTAACAGGGCTCCTCGGGGCTGCCTTTCCCTCGCATTGTGAGCTAAAAATGAGGCATTTGGGTTCAAATGCCTCCCCTGGACACTGGAGATGGATTCATTTGGGGGCTTCGTGGAGATGGGGGGGATGAAGCGGGGAGGAGTGGAGCAGGTCGTCCCGGGGAAGGCAAAGGGCTGAGCAGCACCCATGAAAGGGTTGGGGGTCTTGAGGTGGCAGAAATCGGGCTGGTGCTGGTGAAGACCCCAAAGCTGTGGTGGTTCCGTGGGGATGCGGCTCCTGGGCTCTCACCATGACTCTGGGCATTGCTTGCAGGAGCATGGGGCTGCCGGGGAAGGCAGCCTGGGAAAAGGAGAGGCTGAAATCTGGGTACCCCATGCCCCCAAGGCTCGGTCCTGCTGGCCGGAGCAGGAGGAGTGAGCATGGCCCAGCAGGGCTGGGGTTTGCCACCAGTCCCCAAACCTGGCCCTGCTAGTCCTGGCTGAGAGCGGAGGGTTAGGGGCTGCCCGGCCCCTGGAATCACTGCTCTGCACAGCTCAGCTCTGTGTCTCCAAGTGTTTCTCCAAGCCAACAGGTCTAAACCCTTGCTGAAGGCAATGTTAGTTGGGTTTTGGGGGTTTTTTTGTTCCTTCTTGTGATTTTGGCAAGGAGAGCTTCTGGGCATGGCTGGGACCCTGTGGCTGCAGGGTGTTTGGTGGCATCTTGGGTGACATGATCCTGCGTGTCCTTGCGGGGATGTAAGGCTGTGCTGGTGGTTAGATCTGCCGGGGCTGGGATGTGGCACTCCTGCCCTGCCCAAGGCAGTATGGGCACAGGGGGGACTTCGGCCCCCCTGGGGTCCCCTGGGTGCTGCCGTCCCCGGGAGCCTCGTGGTGTCCGGGCTGGTGAAGGGGCTCCATCCTCGCTTGGCCAGGCAGAGGATGGGGTGGAGGGGGATGATGGCTGCCCTTTCGCCGTGGGTTTTGGCTAAGCTGACCTGGGCTGTTGCCCACCTGCGCTCATGCCATTCCCCTGTGCATGGCCACAGAGCCAGCCAAGACACAAACATGACATGAAGTCTTAAAAAAAAAAAAAAAAAAAAAAAGCACGTGTTTGAAGGCAGCTCTATCCCTGACCATGCAGGAGAGCAAAGGCAGGGGCCCAAGGGAGTGATTCTCCTGCAGGGAGCAGGGTCCAGCCTCCCCACGGGGTCCCCGGCTGCCTTTCCCCTGGGCTGGGGTGCAGGGCAGGATCCAGCCGGGGGATTTGGTTTGGGCAAAGCTGGGGTGGCAGTGAGGGGAAGGGGGAACCTGCTCCGAGCAGCGGTTTGAGTTAGTCAGTGCCTTGGACCCGCGCTGCTCACAGAGGCCCAGGGTGCATTTAATATCTTGCTTTTTGTGTTTTCTCATGTGCATCGCTCCTGCGTTTGCTCTCTGGGCCCAGGGTCACCCCGCAGCGCTGGGTGGGCACCCTGAGGCACCAGCGTGAGTGGCTGCAGGACCCGGGAGCACCCACGCATGTCCCTGGGGAAGGGTGCTCCCGGGGTAGGAACGCAGGTCAGCAACCCTGCTTTTGGGGGGAGAGAGGCAGGAGCCATTCCTTTGTAGTGTTGTTTTGTTTTGGTTTTTTAAATAACTGCTGGAATAAAATTGTATCGCGCCGCATCCTGATGGCAAATAGTGAAAGAGAGCGGCTTTATTCCACCCCTGGAACTCCCTCAAGACGCACACAAAAAAAGCCTCCTGTCTCTGTCTAAAGATTAACTGATGGCTGCAGGCACATCCCTTCCCCCAGCTCCCCCTCTCCGCCCCAGGGCGAGGGGCAGGGAGAGAAAACACCCTTAAATGGTCTCCCAGATAAAATGGCCCAAATGAATGGGATTGCTCCTGTTGGAGCCGGGGAGTTCTGGGATGGAGCCTTTCCCCGCTGCCCCTAGCCCTGCTTGTTTCCTTTTCCCCATTTACTCGGTCCCGAGAATGAGCGGGATGAAGCTGGAATCACTGGCGGAAGGTGTGCTGCGGCTCCTGGCCGTGCCTTTGCTTTCATATGGGAGTATGAAATTAATATGCAGCAGCTAATCCTAATTAGCTGCCTCCTGGGATGCGCAAGAGGGTTTGGCACCCTCAGGGTGGGGAAAATTCAACTGAAGGAGCTGAAGGTGTGGATTTAGGGCAGGTAGCTGATGGATTCACCTCCCTGGTGGATACCTTTGTTTTTTCCCCCAGAATTAGTGCCCAGTGTTTAATTTTGCTGGCTTATGGTGGAAAACTAAGAGGAAGTGTGGCTACTTTGGCAGGAGAGTGGCTTTATTTTGTTTTTACTTGAATTGGGGGGAAAAAAATCACTGGGGATATTGCTCCAGATGACAGTAGGGAGGGACTGGAAAGCCCTGGTACAGTTTCCTAAAACCCCTTGTGCTCTCCCCAATGGCTCCCACAAGCATCACCCTCTTTATCCCTGCACCAAGCCTCCGGAGCTGAGGGACCCCATTTCCCAAGCAGCATCTGCCGGCCGTTTGCACAGGGGCTGAGTCGCAGAAAGGGACCACAGGGAGATTCCTGCTCCAAGCCGTACGTGCATGAGCCCGAAAAAGGCAGCAGCACAGTCCCTTGGTGCTTGAGCTGCCAGCACTGGGGAAAGATTAAGATTTACTGCAGGGTTTGGGGAGAGGAAAGGGCTTTGCTTGGGGACAGATCCTAAAAGGGATGCTTCCCTGCTGCCTCGTGGCTGGCGGTGGGGAGCTGAGCTGGCCCTGCTGCGGGACGGGGGTGTGGGTCACTGCTCCGCATTGGCAGAGTCTGACCCTGCCAAAATCTGCTCTGGGGGGCTGTTTGCAAGAGGAGAAATGCTCTGCCAGAACTGGGCTTGGAGCTGGGCTGAGGCTGCCCCGTCCCAGTGGGATGGCGATGGCATTGCCTGGTGGCAACCACAGCTGTGCCCCAAAAAATGGGGTGTCAGCCCCCTGCACACCAACTTACTCCCTGCAGCCAAGGAAGGGGCTGCTCTGCACCCGCTGTGCCAAGCCTGAGCCCTGCGGGACCGGGAGTGGCTGAGGGCTGGGGATGCTCCCCTGGGGATGTGTGTCCCCCCTCAGGATGGGTCCTCAGGGGTCCTGGAGGGGCAAAGGTGCCTGGGGCTTTGCAGGCTGCTGTGCACCCAGGCCAGGCTGGCTGCTGCATTGAGCGCAGCGGCATGGGGCTGGCTGGCTTGAAACAAGGGATTTGGGGGGGATGGGGACGCTGTGGCTCTGGGGGACAGAGGGGTGTGGAGGTGAATGGGGCAGCACAGTGGCCGGGCTGTCCTGGGCACTGTTGTGGGCTCAGGCTAAGCAGAGGGGACCCCAGAGGAGGTACCCCCAGCCTGCAGGTGAAGGTGGGGTGCGGTGATGGGGTGCAGTGACCCTCTGGGGGCTCCTCAGTCCCTGTGCCCAATGCCAAGACCTGCCTGGGGTTTCATCTTCCCTGGCCCCTGTGAGCTGCTTCATCTCTGTGGAGTGGGGGAAACTGAGGCACAGGCAGTGGCTGCCATGGGGTCGGGTCACCCAAAATGCTTTGGGCATGGCCTGGCTGTACCCCTGGCACCGCTCAGCACCGTCGCTCGCATTCCAGCTGCCGCTCTTAGCCCAGCATCCCAACCCAGAGTGTTTTCCAAGGGATTTAAGTTTAAACGCCTGCAACGCTCCCGTGCTGGCAAGAGGCGAGCCCCTCCGCCCCAGGCCCCTCCGGACACAAAGATGGTTTGATTGAGTGGCCGGGGCTGGCTGGGAATAAATGTCCCCTTGTGCCGCGCTGGGGAGGCCGCGGGGACAATGGTGACCCTGGGGCTGGCTGAGCCTCTCTGGAGCCCGGCGGGGTGGGGGTGAGCTGAAGCCGGGTGGTTTGGGGAGCAGCTGCCAGATTTGGGGTGCTGCACGGTGTCACCCCATAGGAGGCAAAGCAGCTCTCATGCTGGGGTCTGTGATGAGGGCTGGGTGGGAGGAAGAGGAGGGGTGAAAGCACCCACATGCAGGTGGGGAAGGGGGAATGGGTGAGGGTGGGGGACACCGAGCACCGTGGGGGCGGTGGGCAGGGCTGGGCCACTCATGTGCTGTGTCTTTGTCTGCTGTAAATCACCGCGGAGCTGTCAGGGTGCAGAATGGGTGGAAAAGCGGCGAGGTGCCCGCTGTGATGCCTGGCGAGGGGGTGCCTGGGGGGGCCCGCAGAGAGCTGGGCAAAGCAGCACCAACTCTGCTTCTGTTCCTTGTCCCACTGGTTAACTCTGGACCCTAATGATGACAAGCAAGATCCTTGCGCTAGGATATGCTTTAAAACAGTTTTATTATGAGGATAGCAATGCTTTGTGATCCCAAGTGCAGAGAGAGCCCAGGGTCACCCTACAGCCCCCTCCCCCTACCAAACCCATCCCCCCAAGACTGACCCCTCAGCTCTGCCATGGGACCCAGACCCCAAACTCCGCAGCGGGCGAGCTGGGCGTGGGGCTGATGTGCAGAGGGGCTGCAGGGGGTCAGAGGGG